GGGCCCGGCCTGCTGGGCCTGCTGGGACGGGGCTGCCGGGCCTGCTGGGACAGGGCTGCAAGGGGGCTCTCGGGTGAGGAAACCGAGCTGTATGTGCCAGGCGGACATCTCTGTGGGTCTCTGGGCCCCCATCTCCCCACCACGTGCTGCTGCCCAACTGCTCTCCCGGGGGGTGGGGGTGGGGAACGGGCAAGCGCAAGCCAGTCCCCGGGGGCCATCCTGGCTTCCCTTGGATGCCGCAAAGCTGGCGGCTCGCTCTGCTCCCATGGGTGCCCCGTCGAGGGGGAGCGCAGTGAGGGACTCATCTCTTACGGGACCAGCTTCTCCCTCCGGGGACACCCTCTGGTCCTGGAAGGTGTTGGGGTCCTGACTCATTCCAGGGCCGGCACTGTGGCTCTCCTGGCCTCCCCCGGGCTTCCCCCCACCCCCGCCGGCTGGCCCCGTTGTCTGTGCCAGGTCAGCAGCTGTTGCGGAGCCCTGAGTCCCTGGTGGCCAACACCAGACATTGAAAAATGGCCAGGCACCAGGCACCGTGCAGGGGGACCAGGCCAGCCCTCAGCTCCAGGCCCAGCCCTCAGCCCCAGGCCACGGCGCCTCCCGCCCCGCAGGGCTGGGACCTGGTGGTCTGATGCACAGGGGTGTGGCGCCTCCTCCTGGGCCCACCTGTGACTGAGCCACGGCAGCTGTGAAATAACGTGTGTCCTGGCCACCTGCACAGGAGGTGGGCCCGGCACAGGGTGTCCCAGGACGCGGGCCAGGGGCTCCGGGGAGCAGCCAGTCAGCTGCTGTAAGGACGTGCCCCAGAGGCGCACGCTCGAGGCGGCTTCTCCACGGCCCCTCTCCCAGTGAGAGCTGAAGTCGGCCAGGGCGCGTCATGGGGCATCGCTGTGGGTGTTGGGGGCACAGCTGGAGGTGGGGTTGTGAGGGCCATTTGATCTGATAAAGGGTCCCTTCTCTGTGGATCCTGGGCCAGGTGCAAGGGGGCCATCCCTCCCCAGGCCCCTCGGGCTCCTGGGACCCAGAGTTCGGACTTGGGGGGAGTGTGGTGGCCAGAACCCTGTGCTCCTCCCAGGAGTCCCCGTGCTGGTCACCAGGTCCTGTGGTGTCACCTCCATGGCAAAGGGACCTGGGGAGGTCCTTGTGAGAGGGAGGAGACGGGTCAGCGTCAGGAGGAGATGAGACGATGGGTCAGAGGTCAGAGTGAGGTCATCGCTGCCTGGAGTCACCAGGCAGGCATGCAGGGGCTTGGAGAGGCTGGACGAGCCGGAGGCATTTCCCTGGAGCCCCTGGAGGAGCAGCCTGCGGCACCTGACTGTAGCCCCCGAGACCCATTTTGGGCTCAAACCTCTAAGCTGGGAGAGAAGAATCTGTGTCCATTTACAGCAGCAGCGGGAACGGGCACAGGGCTCTCAGGGGCTCCACCACTGCCCTGAGTGGGGCACCCCCAGCCCTCACCCTGCAGGAGACCCTCTGGCCCCTCCCCGATGGAGCGGGGCGTCTGGTCCAGGGCGCCGCCCGTGGTGGGTGGGCGGGCGCTGCTCTGCCTGGCCATCGTCGTGGCATCTGCG